TCCTGAAAAATAGTAAGAGCCTCTTGAACATACACCCCGAGGGTGGAAATATTTGTAGAAGTTCGTTTAATCTTATGGACGAGCATTAAGGAATCAGTTTCAAACTGAACATCAAACCATCTCATGTAACAAACCATTCTAAGACTGACGAGTAAAGTATATAGTTCCGCAAAACCCGCCTCAAAACATCCAACATAAGACTGGGCCAAACCACCACAAACTTGTCCACACTTATCACGAGCAACAACTCCCTCCAAAGGTGGAGTCCATCGTATATCAGTATTTGTAGATCGTTGTTTATTCATCCCCACACTAATAGCCCTTAAATAGTCCTGATGTAGTATATTTGCATTAGTCACCAATAGCCACGTCGGTTGCAACCTGTCAGAATAAACAAAGGAGTTTCGATTATTCCAAACATTCCATAGAATTATCAAAATACCAGCAAAAGTATCAATTCATAGAATAGAGAATACTTCCTCCATCCATAATAAAGAACTATCCATAGTACTAAAAAATATAGAATTAGACAAATATGCTAGACGTAAAGCCTCCAAAGTTACAGGATAGTCCCTCATAGCATGTATAATCGTCTCCTCCCCATTATAACACATAGGACAAATTTCATCACTAAAACCAACACTTTTAAGCCGACTACCCACAGGTAATGCATTCTGGGTAACCCGTCAATAAAACACATGTATCTTAGGAAGAATTTTCAATTTAACCATAACTTACCATAGTTTAGACTTCCTCTCATTATCATGATGTCATTTCTGTAACCACCAATAACCATATCTAATTGAGTAGATACCCGAATCATGGGTAGCCCAAACAATAACATCTTCAGCACAAGGTGCAATAGGAATTGAAAGAATCTGCATAGCATATTCCTTAAAAAACAACCTATAAATCAAAGATTCATTCCAAACATTAGAACCATCAATCATAAGATCAGAACAATAAAGAGGATTAAGATCAGAGTTAGAATAACTCCCTGTGAGAGAAACAACTTTTGAACCACCCCAGATATCATGGTGAACCCGTTTATTACTTCGTATACCAATACGCCAAAAAAGACCCCCACGCATCTCTTGTAATGTATGGTATAAACCTTTCCGAGCATAAGAATTTCTATCCTTTAGAGTAGCATTTAGCAGATCACCATGGGGAAAATATTTAGCACGAAATACTCGAGCCACCAAACTCTCTGGATCCTTAATAAAACACCATAATTGTTTGCCTAATAAAGCCAAATTGAAACTATGCAAGTCCAGAAATCCCATCCCACCTTCTCTTTTGGGTTTACACATTGTTTTCCAAGCAACCATTGGCCAACCACGCCTATTAGCATCACCTGACCACCAATAACGCCTCATATTACTCACCAAATCCTGAACTAAACAATCAGGAAGCCGATAGCAAGACATAATATATTGTGAAAGAGCTTGGGCTACAACTTTAAGAAATACCTCACGACCTCTAAATGAAAGAAGATGTTTCGTCCATCCGTCAATTTTAATTAGAAACCTTTTCTTTCAAATAACCAAATGTGTTTGTCTTATTCTTTCCAATGTGAAGAGGCATACCAAGGTAGTGTCCCAAATTAGACACTTCGCCAATACCCAAGATACTCGAAATCTGATCACGATATTCTTGTCTCGTACTTGGACTAAAATATAATGTCGATTTCTCAAGATTCACCTTTTGACCAGACGCGGCTTCATAAGCACCAAGAGCATTGCGAATAATAGAAGCCTCCTGTAAAGAGTTCTTAATGAAGATAAGGCTATCATCAGCAAAAAATAAATGAGTTACTTTAGGCCCATTCTGACTTGCCCCCATTCCACGAATCTTCCTTTGAGCCTACAAACGGTTAAATAGAGCGAATAACCCCCGAGTGTAGAAAAGAAATAAAAATGGAGATAAATGATCGCCTTGTCGTAATCCTCGATTTGGCCTAAACTCCTTAGTGAGACTACCATTGATATGAACAGAGAAAGAGACGGTTTCCATACATCTCATAATAAGATTAACCCAATAAGCATAAAAACCTAGCTTTAACATAACCTTTCTCTGAAAAGATCATTTCACTCTATCGTATGTTTTCTCCATATCCAATTTAATAACAGCACCCTTATTCAGACCATTTTTTGAAATGTACAGTTTGGTGACTTTGCTAGAAGGCAGTAGGAGCGGTGGTTACAAATAAAATAAAAATAATATTATTATTAACGAAAAGTCTCTTCTATTTCTTTATCCTTATAATCTTCATTATTAGGGGAGGCGGCACATTTTATCATTATTTTCCTAACAAATAATCACATATCTTAATATAAATAATTTAATTTATGTATAAAAAATGAATGATTCAATTATAAAGCTTGACGTGTCACTTAGAAAATTTTATTTCATAAGAACGAAAATAGGGTTGAATTATTTTTTTATAAGAATTGGAGGTCTTGTTAAAAATCACTTTCATAATCATCAACATACTAAAATGTATGTCAATGAAAACTGGAATGATGAAAAGAGTACCTCATGATTTATTAAATAATATAACCATTACACCTTGTATGTAATAACACCCCAATAAGATACATATACCACATCTAAACTATTAAATCTCTAAATTCCCCTTAAACATCCACATATTACAAGGTTAACCCTATCTGATACCCATTCACACCTATCCAAGCCTCACATCACTAAAAAATAAAAATATTCGAAAACATTACATAAATCCGTTTATATGATAAAAACACAACCGACTCCTAACGGCGAACCATCTTTATCTTGGAGAAGCAACACACTCCAATCAATTAAAACTCCTTCCAATACCGCTAACAGACTAAAACCCAATATTCGTTCAAGACATTTAAACCACTTCATCCTTTAAAATTAATAATTAGAGTTTGGGCCTCCATTTGTTAAGACGAGGGTAAGCCTGTAAATTTCTTAATTATTTAAATTTGTAAATTTATTTAAAATTAATATTTTTCAAATATTATTATTTAAATTATATTAAATTATTCAGAAATATTTAATTCAAATATTTATTAATTTATCTAAAATTTTATTTACTAATTTTAAATTACATTTCATTATTAAATAATATTTTAGTAAACTTTATTTTGCTAAAAATTGTTTTCAAATAATTCAGAATTAGTGGTACAAATGAATAGAGCGTCTGATGAATTATTTGTGTAACATTATTTGTGTTTATTTGTTAAATTAAATAAACGAGTATAACAACAAAAATTTATATTCGTTTAATAAACGAACATAAACAGAAGTGTGTTCGGTTCGTATATGCTTACAAACAAGCTCATTTATAGACTCGTTTGCTTATGTTCATGAACAAACTCAGTTAATGATTCGTTTAGAAGCTCGTTTACTTTTTATTTATTTACATTTTAAATATTGGTGAATGTAGGGGCTGAACATAATATATGGTAGAATTTGGAGTTTAAACAATGAAGTCTAAGGAGTTTAAACACTAGTGACATAATTTTATCATTTTTTTAACTTACAAATGAATATGCTTACGAACACTAAACGAGTATATAAATAAGAGAAAATAACATCAGTGACCGAAAATGCCTTATAATATACGATTTTAACCAACTTTTTTTGGATTTGCCAAAATGACCAACAAAATCGCAACGCGAACTTTAATTTTTCAACTCAGTTTTCAAATTCGCAACGCGATTTTGAAAAATGTGTTGCGATAGTTAAAATGTGTTGCGAGAGTTTGAAAAACGTGTTGTTGCGATAGTGAAAAAGTGTTGCGATAGTGAAAAATTCAAAATAAGTTTATATTTTAACTATTCCAAATTCACGTGGAGTTTGAAACAATAAAGAATGTGTTGCAATAGTGTATAAGATTCCCAAGCCATTTGTAAGATCTTAGTTTGAAACAATAAAGAATGTGTTGCGATAGTGTAAAAGATTCCCAAGTGTTGACAATGCTCAATCCCACATAGTATTGGAAACACTATTGGGAATGAGTATTTAAGGCTTGGATTTCCCACTTCCTTGTTGAATGGAAGAGAACAAGGGGGACTCCCGCGCACCGCCGCCGTCCGTCCCATCTCATCATGGTCGTGGTAATACGTGTCTTCGACACGTCCGCGCGGATACTATCTTTTTAGAGAAAATTCTTAAGAAACGAATTTGGAAAATCGTAATGTGAACTTGGACTATCGCAACGAATTTGGAAAATCGCAACGCGAACTCCGACTATCGCAACTTGAACTTGGACTATCGCAATGAATTTGGAAAATCGCAACGCGAACTTCGACTATCGCAACGAATTTGGAAAATCGCAACGTGAACTTGGACTATCGCAACGAATTTGGAAAATCGCAACGCGAACTTCGACTATCGCAACACGAATTTGGACTAACGTAAATTTGGAAAATCGCAACGAATTTGGAAAATCGCAACGCGAACTTGAACTATCGCAAAATCGCGTTGCGAATTTGGAAACTGAGTTGAAAAATTAGAGTTCGCGTTGCGAATTTAAGATCGCATTGCGATTTTGTTGGTCATTTTGGCAAATCCAAAAAAAGTTGGTTAAAATCGTATATTATAAGGCATTTTCGGTCACTAAGGTTATTTTCTCTATAAATAAATATGTTCGTGAACATATAAATAAACGTGTTCGCAAACACTAAACGAACACGAACACCTTAGAAAATAAATAAACGAACACAAATCAAACATGACCACTTTTAATAATAAACAAATAAATACAAACATACTCTTATTTGTTCAAGCTTTATTTATTTGCACCCATATTTAAAATTATTTTTTAAAACACATTTTGATGGTTTAACTAAAATATTTTAAAGTTTAAAGTTTAATATAAAATATTAGTTATAATTTGAGGATGCCTACTGCCATTAACCCAATAATAAAAGCACCAGAATGAAAATTTTAAGCACAGATTTAACTGTAAAACTGCGAGAGTGGTCGGCGTTGGAATTGAGATAAGTATGAAGGCCGCCAGTGGCTGCTGTAAGATTCCTTTTCCTTTTGCGACGCCTACTTGCTTGAAGTGTAGGGGCGGAGGTCTGATTTCAATAAACCCAGCCTCGCCCTCTCCGTCTTCGCCTGCTCTTCGCCTTTCATCATTTCAAGGTCAGTTTCAGTTCTATTGATATTACTAAGATCATGCACACTGGTATTCTTTTAGTGTGATGTAATGTTGCGATTCCTGAGTTTTTTCAGGTCTAAGATTGTACAGTGGAAGGGGGATAGATGTTGTTGCTGGAGCTACAGCTGGAGAAGGAGTGAATGGAACTTCGGAGACGGCGTCATTTGATCCTTATATGGAAGAAATGGATATCGTACATTTCTTGATCCTCCTAATTAGGGCTGTAAATGGGACGAGACAGATCGCGAGCTACTCGAGATCGACTCGATCTTGGCTCGATAAATACTCGGATCGAATGGACTCGACTCGAGCTCGAACTCGACTCGAGTTCTTAATGAGCCGAAACGACCTACTCGATATTCGACTCGAAAAGCTCGTGAACAGCTCGAAAAAATATTATATTATAATTTTATATTTTTTAAAATTACATTATTAAAAATATATTAAAAATACATTATTGATGAATAAATATTCTTGAATTGAAAATGGTTAAATTTTTTTTTTGAATAAATATTCTTATATTTTATTTTAAATTGATAAAAAAAATTATTTCTCTAATGACAAATATTTAATATATTTCTAATGATAATATTTATAATAACTAATTTTTTAAATTGTTGTTATATTTTGAAGTTTTGGGTTCAAATATCATAAATATCAAGGGTTTGAGCATTTAATATCAAGATACTACATTGTACTTATCTCATAACTAATTATGTGATAAGGTTTAGGGTTTAAGATTTAGAGTTTATGTGATAGGATTTAAGGTTTAAAGTTTAGAGTTTAGGGTTTATGTGTTAAGGTTTAGGGTTTATGTGTTAGGGTTTAAGTTATGCCATGAAGGTAACATACAAATTATGCAAAATGATGTTATGTGGCTCATAAATAAATTATTCACATACTTATACATAAACATATCAACATGCAAAATAAATATACACAACTAATTAAAGAAAACAATCCTAAACAGAGACTAAATTAAGAAAAATCTAAATGTGAGGACTAATTTAAGCTAAAATTTAAATAATTGAGGGACTGTTTTGTACAAAACGCATAAATCTAGAGAGCCTAAAGCTAATTTACCCCTAAGGTTATGGTGGCTAAACGATAATTAACCTCAAAATTAATTAGGGTTTAGAACCTAAATTAAAACAAACCTAAACTAAATATTCATTTCAGCCGGTCAAGCCTCACGCCCTAACCTTCTCCAACTCTCCCCCTCTCATTCTCATGCAAACCAGAAAACAATGTCACAGGCCCGCAGCTGCCGCTCCTCTCGCCTTTCTTCAACGAGTTCTACACTTCAACTTCTATCATTTTTCCTCGCTCAACCCTAACAGAGACCCACAGCCTCTGTGGCTTCAGTCGCCTAGTGCTCCGATGTGGAGCTTAAACTTCTCCTAAACATATTTCGGTGACAACCTTCATAAAAAAACATCCCCAAAACCTTAAACTTAAACCCATAATACCCTCGTAAATACCCAGCTTCACCACTCCGTAACCATGCCAGACCACGACCACCGCGGCCTTCGCCGTCCCCACGAGCTCCGATGAAGAGTCCTAACGCCTGGACCACTCTTTCCTCGTTGGCCTAGGCAAGAAACCCAAACTTTACTGCACATTAATATATGCTCTAGATATGATATGTTCTCCTCAGTACACGATCTATGCCCTTCGAAAATCTTGGTGAACTTTTTTTTCATTCTTGCGTATCTTTTACCTGTATATCTAAAAACTTAAAAGAGAAAATCTTTCGCATGTGACAACATTTAGGTTTTTCAAAGTGGAGATCTCGCTGCTGTTGAAGTTGTGTTGTCGAACATGGCTGTTGCACTTGACCGTGTGCTTTTGGATGTAGAGGTAATTGTTCTAAAATGTTCTTTCAAGATGAATCTACAGTTTGTAACTTTTATGAACTTCCTTTTTCAGATACTGCATTTCGATTATAAGTTTTTATGAACTTCTACATGAAATATGACGGTAGCTTTTCAAGATCCTTTTGTATTTCAACCCTACCACAAAGCTTTGCGGGAGCCATTTGACTACTACAAGTTTGGTCAAAATTATATTCGACCTTTGATTGATTTCAGGTGAGTGGACAAATGCCACACTGTCTTATTATAATGGTTTCTTTATTTATGTTGATTTAGGTTGTAGAAAACTCCGCTGATAATTGAATATGGTTTTGTCAAGAAATATATGGTTGTTCAATTTCATAACTCTATTAAGGTGAACCAATACATTAGATTTTCACGTTAGTGATTAGGACATATGTGAATGTCACAAGTAAGGTTATATAAATTTTTGATTAATTATATCTTTGAATACAATCTAAGGTTGAAATTGTTTTATATTTTGTATTCTATCTGGTGGATCATTCGTTGTATATTTCAAAATTTTCACTCCCCTTCTTCTTCCCAGAAACATATTATTTTACATGTCCCATAGATACAATTTAATTCTTATCAACTGCTGCATAAGCTGTTAATTGTCATTCCTAGTATTGGTTTTGGTGTTTGGTTCTCTGTCCCTTGTTTTTTGCTTGGTGCTCTGTCCCTTGTTTTGTGCTTGGTGCTCTGTCCCTTGTTTTGTGTTTGGTGCTCTGTCCCTTGTTTTGTGTGTCTGCAGGGCATGGATTCGAGCATGGCCAGCATGGGCGACGACAGCATTGGTTTCGGTGGATGGCAGACCATCATGGGTCTTCCTCGGTGGGTTCACGTGGGTAGAGCACTATCTCGGGCTTCCTCGTCGATTTGCACCACATGTTAATATAATAAACATGAGTAATAATAATACTAATAATTATTATAAAAAAACTTCAAAACTTATATTAATTATCCTAAATTTCTTGTAATTGTATTTTTTATTTTTTAGATTTTTTATAGTTCATACATTCATATTATAATGTATTGGTAATGGTTGATTAAAGGGAAAATTATTTATATATTTTAAATGTAATATAAGATTTTTGTAGGATCAAATTCGAGTTTGAGTTCGAGCTTTAATCGAGTTCGAGCTTGAATCGAGCTTGAATCGAGCTCAAAATCGAGCTCAAAATCGAGCTTCAATCGAGCTCTTGAATTTTTTTTGAGTTCGAGCCTTTTCGAGTTCGAGTCGAGTTTTAATATTATCTTTCGAGTTCGAGTCGAGCTTGAAAATTTTAGGCTCGCGAGTTTTCGAGTCGAGTCGAGCCTACATTTAAAGTTTTCGAGTTCGAGTCGAGCTCGGCAATACTTGAGCTCGACTCGGCTCGTTTACACCCCTACTCCCAATGATTTGATTCCTTTGGACCCCAATTCTTATAATCCGGCTGCATATCTTTGGTCTTTCATTTTACATTTCCATTATCTTCTTTATTTCTTTAGATATATGAGTGTAAGATACAATAAGTATGTATCTGACACCGAGTATAGTCGGATTTTCTAAGTTTCTTCATATTTTTGGAGAAACTTTGGAGCTCATATATCCAAATTCATGTGTTCAGTAGAAGTGTGGGGTACAAGTACTTAAAGGAAAATAAGAGTTCGAGCAACATAGCTTATGTTGAGAATCATATTCTCTTATTTCTCAGGAAAAAAATTGGAGACATTCCAGAGGAAAGACGCCATCGATTGCTGCAATTACTCAATCCCAGGTTGCTTTTCTTATTTATTTTTTTGGGATAAATTTGTTGCTTTTCTTATTTCTTCCCCTTCCAACTTCACATTTCTAAGTTTGCATTGTTAAAAAGATACATTACTACTCGGGAGATGGAATAATAGAAACAAGTAGTAAACTGTACAAATAGTTTAATTCAAGTGCTTCCCAGAATCACTTTTACATATTAGCATGCAATGCAGGCTTATTTCGATAGCTTGGGAGATAGCTGGCACACGATTTCATGACCCTAAATTAGTGAACAAAACTGCTTCCAACATTCTATATGATAAAGACACCACAATTCCCTTTCAAGTCTTTAACTGAAGAATCAGAGGAGGTAATTTATTTGAGTTATTGCGAACACCTTGGTAATTGGTACGACTTAAATACCTTTAGTTTTGAAACATATACAAATTCCCAAGAGACAAAAGGATTTTTAAATATTATATATGTTAAGTTTACCTGTGGATTGGGGCATTGTATATGCATAGATGCATATGTACACACATGCGCGCACACACACACCTGTTGCATTGTATTTTATGAGATTGATGCATAGTAATTTTCAATGTTTAGAGTCTACATGTTACGTGCTGCTTCTAATGATGCATATATGTTGTTTTTGTTATATGCTAGATGATGATGTTTCTTGTGAACTCTACTTTTGAAAGATCTAATAATATGCTCCTCTCATTTAGGTCCATTTCTTATTGCTTGGATGAAATACTTCAAAAAGGTTAGTTCTAGATTAATATGATGAAACTCTCAAATTCCATATTAGTCATTCTTTTTTCATCATTTTTTAGCACTCTTCCTCTGCAATTAACTATCTGAGAGTTAACTGATTCTCTTTTAGACTATATTTTGTGGCAATAATGGGAAGACATATGGACTTTTTATTGGTACGTATGTGAAGACTCACTCTGAACTGTTAATATGGTGTTTCCTCTTTGCTAGCATATATCTCCACTTTGGGTTGATTAGAAAGGTTAAATCTAGTATATATCTCCACTTGACCATTTATTTAGAAATAGAAGTGGACATAATGTGAGATATTGGACGTTCAAGTAGAGCGTTAATAAAATTGTTGTTTGCTTTCTACCCTGTTTCACAGGCAATTGCAAATGCTAAGAAACTGAGTGAACTCAGACTAATGATAAAGATGGGATATTACTAGCTACTGAAGGTTTATATATGGGAAAGTACAGTTATCTCTAAATGGTTAAAAATATATTTTTTTTATAAAAAAAAATAAACAAGGAGAAATAATAAAATAGATTTCTTGATCTATGATGCTATCACATGTAAGAAATTTTAGTTTTGCTGCTCTTGTATACTCAAATGTGCTCCATGCGCTTTTTAGTCTTTAAATAAATGTGCTTCTTAGTTCGTTTAATCTACAATCATCTATTAGTGATGTACAAAATTTCTGGCAATGCATCTCTAAATTTGGATTCAGGAATTTAAAGTAATAATTCATGTACCATGAAAGTTTACTCTTTTTTCCCCTATATATACTTGTGTGTGTTCACGCGTGGACGAGTTATGCCTGTGGAGAAATTACTGATTTATTAAAAACAATATTGTTTCTTAGGTGGATCAATTGTGGGTCATTTTGCGAATCAGTTATGCCCGTTGTATTTTGAGGTGACTCAGACAAAAGAAGTAATGTCAACTGAACAGCCCTGTGATTTGGCCTACGAATTTGGGGATGGTCTCTTGGATCTCGATGAATATCCAAGTCACTTTCCCAAGCCAGGTGAAGATTATTAATTATTGCTAATTATGAGGTTGATCTGAGTGTTGAATTTGTCCTACTTCGCGTTACTCTGTTTTGCAGTGAAACATCTATATCCGTTCAATGACGAGGTTGTGATATACATTCGGCATATAGGGCCTGGTGTTTTGGTGGGGCAAGCATGGCAGGAAGGTAAAAAATTAGACCAAGTGCCACAGAAGTTATGTGGGGAGATTTTGATGGTAAAAGAATATGCTCCACGAGCAAATTAGGTAAAAAAAAAATCATGTGGTTTTGTTTTGTCATTTGAAGAAGTGCATAAATCCTATGTGTAGTGTAGGTTGTTTAGGTATGAACTGTAACAGTGGTAACTTCCATGGTGATTGATGACATATTTGAAAAAGATTAAAGGTAGGCATGGCCATGAATAATGTTAGGTGTAATGTGTTGCTTCATAGACTTTGTTATGGTTGAAGACAACACAATTGGCATTACGGTGGACAAGCTTCTCATCAAGGTAGTGAGCAGTGTATTGGTGAGTGTACCGGTTTAGATTTAACTTATTTGGTACCAAGTTAGATTCAAAGCACATTATGTATCAACCGCTATATAATTTTTTTTTAAAAAATACAATATTTCTATGATCGAATGTAATACAATGTAGTATATATTAAAAAAAATTACCAACTATTAGTTTATCCAACATGATGAGGTGTTGGGTTTTTCTAAATAATGTCAAAGGTTCAAATTCTGATGTTGAAATTAAAACAAATAGGGTTAAAATAATTGTTTCGTAATAAATTTTTGCATGACTATATCTAAATTAATAAATTGAATATAGATGATTATATATAATAAAAACAGCTTTATGCCATTGCCCTATCCTAACATGTGGGGTTTTTCCCATGAGTCCTACCCATTATGAGCAGATAGCCTACGTGTCAATTGTTGTTTCCGTGGATGCTTATATTAATAGTGATGATGATAATAATGGTACTTATGAATGTTGAGATTTGATATTTAGTTTGAGAATTTTGAAGTATAGTTTGATAAAATTAATGATAATTTTATAACTTTCCAAAGTTAAGTGACCAGAAAAATCATATGAGCATAGTCTAATAGCATCTAGTGTACTTTAACCAAACATTATAGGGCTGGGTCCATAAAAATGATTATTAGTAAATAGATATTCAGTTTCGTCCCCAAAAATGGCTCCGTGGTAGGCCGCCACTGCCCGCTGTATCTGCAACTCTTTTCGCTCCATGTTCGAGGGTTAGAGTTTTTCTTTTCAATTCGGCTTAAAGTCACCATTCCCGGATTTTTAATTATTAAAACAAACACTTCTTGCTCTTTTCTCTTTCTGTAGATAGTTTCACGCTATTTCGATGTTTGTTTCATGCGAATTTACTGCAACAAGAAAAAAATAGATCAATCCAGGAGGTATAAATGCTTTCTTTTTTATTCTTTTTTTATGTGTAGAAGTCTTATTAGTTTTGAATATTTTGTTAATCTGAAGTTTCTGGATGCTTTGGCAGCAATGGCGGAGGATGTTCCGGGCACGCCCGAGTCGAGTGTTGCGGACGCGCCAGTGGAGGATGTTCGAGTCTCATCCTGCTGTCAAGTGGTATGATTTCAAATTAGAGAAGCACATATTACAATGTTTCTACATTTCCCCCCTTAAATTATTTCTTTTCTTTTTTCAGTGGAAAAATAAATATTCGAAGGCAGAAAGGGGACGAGTTTGTCTAAAGCAAGCAGTTCTTATACTGGAAAAAGGATGTGATAATATTCAAGCCCAGAATTTGGCTCTCAAGCAAGGTATAAATAATGCGACTAAATGTAACTTCCCTTTTGTTAATTTCTTTGTGTTTGTTAGGATTGAAACATATGTTGGCCGAAGGGTGTGCGTTCATACATTTAGGGTAGTCCTTTATATTGGTTTTTATAACAAGAGATTAGATGTTCAATTTGAATTGTCCTGCAATATTTGTTCTAATTCGTAGCTTTACACTTTCAGCATATAAAGAAGAGCAGGCACGAACTAAGGTAGAAAAAGAGGGCAGAGAAAAAGAACTGGCTTTAAGAGTTTCATTAGAGAATGAAATATCTGTCCTGAAGTCTGAGATATCCAATTTAAAGCAAAAAGGACTTTCGGTCTGTGATGATAAAATTGAAGAAATAAAGCTTCTTAAAGCTTGTCTTTCTGAAAGGGATAGGGAAATAAGCTGGCTCAAGGAGCTTGTTGAGAAAGAGAAGAAGAGGGCTGATTTGGAGAAGAAAAATTGCATCAGCACATGCTACAACTGAGAAAGGTAAGGCTGGTGAAGAAGATGGGCTAAAGCAGTTGGAGGCACCAACGAAAGAGGTTAGTGAAGCAAAATCCAAGTTGGCTTCAGAGAAGTCAAAGCTGGATGAGGAAACTAAGAAGCTAGAAGAAGAGAAAAAGAAGGCAGATGAAGAAAGAAAACTTGTCGATTTAGAAATGGCTAAAGCAAGGGAGTTGAGAAAAATTGTAGAAGAAACTAAGAAAAAGGCTGTTGATGATAGAAAATGTGCTGATTCGGAGATGGCTAAAGCAGAGAAGCAGAGGAAGGTTGCTAAAGAAACTAAGAAGAAGGCCGCTGAAGAAAGAAAACGTGCTGATTTAGAGATGGCTGAAGCAGCGGAACAAAGGAAGATTGCTGAAGAAAACGTGAAGAAGGCTGTTGAAGTAAGAAAACAAGCTGAGTTTGAGATGGCTAAGGCAGAGGAGCAAAGGAAGATTGCAGAAGAAACTAAGAAAAAGGCTGTTGACAAAAGGAAATGTGCCGATTCGGAGATGGCTAAAGCAGAGAAGCAGGGGAAGGTTGCTAAAGAAACTAAGAAGAAGGCTGTTGAAGAAAGCAAACATGCTGATTTAAAGATGGATGAAGCAGCGGAGCAAACTAAGATTGCTGAAGAAGACATGAAGAAGGCTGTTGAAGTAAGAAAACAAGCTGAGCTTGCGATGGCTAAGGCAGAGGAGCAAAGGAGGATTGCAGAAGAAACTAAGAAAGCTGTTGAAGAGGCCAAAGTAGAGGAACAAAGGAAGGTTGTGGAAGCAACTAAGAGGAAAGCTGTCGAAGAGAAGCTGCACAATAAAAATTTGACCAAAGAAAAGACAGCACAATTCAAGGTGCTGAAGGAAGATGCTGAGAAGTCCAGGGTAGTTTCTCGGTATCTGCAGTTGGATGATACTGAGAAAGAGAAGTCTACTAGTGAGAGAAAACAAGCAGATTCAAAGAGGAGGAAAGCAGAAAAGAAAAGAAAGTTTGTGGAAGAGAATACAAAGAAGACTATGAAAGGAGAACACTGTGTTGATCATTTATCAAAGCTGTTAGACGATGCTAACCTGAAAATTAATGAATTGCAGAAGCAGATATATAAACTTTCATCCAATAGAAAAACAGTTGGTGCATTGGTTGTTTCATCTAACAATGGAATTAGTGCTGATGTAGCAGAAGTAAAGCTTTTGAAAAAACAACTGAAGTTTGAGAAGGAAAGAGTAAAGCATGCAAAAGATGTGGCTAGGTTGGAAAGAAATCATAGTAGTCTTCTGCAACAAGAATTAGGTTGCATGAAGCTCGAGTTAATTAAACTTCTCTACCGTTTGGATGCACTGGATAATTATTTCTCAGTTCCAGCTGAAGGTATATATGACATGGAAAAGGTTAGTTTCTCAGTTACTATTCATATCTCTGGTATCCCTTTTTTCTTGCATTTTAGATCCTTTTTCCCCGCAAAATTTGATTGTTTTCCTGATTGATGATGTAGTGTCATAATTCGTTTTATGAAAAATAGCATACAGGTTTTGGCGTTTGATACACTATACATTGCTACTGGTTGATTTTTCTCAGACTGAAGGTTACCTGATAGTTCTTTAGTATTATTGAATTGGTGGGTAGAGTGTTAGTCTACTTTCTATTCTACTTCAATTTGTGGGAAGTTGTAATTTATATGGATATCACTGATTTTATTTATGATTCACTGGAATACTAATAGGCTCTTAGCAATTAACTTCTCCAGCTTGGAGAAGACTAAAAGAAAGGAAAATAGAACATTCGCAAAGAAAGGATAGGAGAAAGAGTGATGGGGTTGCGGGGTGGGGGAGAGAGATTACACCCTTAGAAGCATTCCTTTTCTTTTTATTTAATCAAACGTATATCCTATGATTTTGCAGAATCTGTACCTTTCTATAATTTTAACAAAAGAATTTAAATATAGTATTATGGCATTCTTTTTTGTTTAGGCCAATTTGCAATTTTAATGTAGTATTATGGCATTCTGTATTTTTATTTTCTTCTATTTCTGCCTGTGATTCTGATCATGGTTGTACATGGGATTGTTTGATATGCTTTGCAGGCTGGAGACTCTGCAAGTATTCGATGGAAAAAGCTGAAAAACAATTTGCGCGGTTTAACATCATGTCAAACATGCCTTCAAACTAAAAATCAATTTCTGAAGACTAGGTACATGGATACAATTGCTTCCAGCCCTCCTGGGGAAACATTTTGACATGATGAGTGTTTGCTTCCTATACAGGAAGGGAACTGTTGTGAATCTATCACAGGTATCAATTCTAATTTGGAGCCTCTAGTTGGAAGCTCTAATAAAAGAATGTTACAGAGTTCTGCGATAAATTCCTGTACAGCATCTTTTTCTGATAGACAGTTGGTGGGCTCACGGGAAAGGGGTGTTCCTTCTGTTACCACATGAGCAACACTGGCTGAAGAGAACTTAAATTTACAACCAACTATTACAAGTATGTCTGGTGAAGTCACAAAAACTAAGTGTAATGAAAATCCTGCTGTGGTTGATGAAAATAGTGTTAAAAGTCCTCCTCTAGGAAGAGTTAAGGGCCGTGTTAGGAAAAGAAATATGATACTTGATACTGTGGAATGTATTGAAACTTTATGCTGTGAGAGAAAAAAGCTGCATCTACAGCTTGGGGACAAACTTTCTGTTTTGCAATGTATGGTACAAATGGATAAACCCAGTGAAGAAGCAAAACCAGCAACACCTAAGATGCAGGATGCATATTCTGCACATGATAGATCCCATAAGAGGAGGAAAACATCGGATGAAAAGACACTAGCTATGGGGAAATCTTGTGATGGTGTGCAGATGAAGCAGATGAAAGGTTGCTCTGATCATTTGTGCAACCCTGATACAACTGACCCTAAAACTATGGTTGGTTTTGAGGTGGTAGTCAGCAAAAACTATATGAAATTACTGGATTTGGATGATGCTGCAGAGGAGGAATGTTATAGGATGGCAGTAGAAAGGCCTGTGTCCCCTACACTTCC